TGACAATAGTAATCCAATCACTACCGAAAACGTTAAATATGATTTATATATTTTTTTCTATTATTATGTGTTTTAAATACTGTTTTGATATTTCAGAAAAATACACGGTATGGAAGCTACTAAAACCTTAATACCTATAATAAATTACAAATGACTGGAAAACGGTAAAAGGAATAATTAAATTTCTGAAATTAACCAAAGCAAATTAAATATGAAAACTCATTGCGTTTTGAGAAAACATGAGTATAGGAAAGGAAATATTTTTTAGACTTTCCTTTATCACCAATCATTTCAATTCTGACTACAAAAATTTTGGTACTTTTCCGTTTCACCGGCGCAAATCTCGCGAAGCAGACTTTATTGGCGACAACATACAGTATAATACATAAAAAATACACATAATATACACATAAAAATGTTATTTCTAAGAATTTTTGATTTTGAAGCCATAAACATTTTAATATCATTTAAAATTTTGTAAAAAGCCAATAAATTAAGACAATACATTTGTAAAAAGACATTAATTTAAGAATTTACTATGCTTTCATGGTTCAACATCCTGATTCGCCGGGTCATAAAGTGACCTCATCTCGCGTAAACTACGCTACAAAAATGTAATTCTCTTAGTAATTATCTACATTAATTTCAAGTTAAATGTTAATTTGGAATGCAAGTTTTAATGCAATAATTATTTAAATTCGTACGAATAGCTTACTCAGAAATTATGTAAAACCGTAGTCTTTGCTTCGGTAGTGCATTCTTATTAGAATTGACGAATTTAAAACCCTTGACGGTTGATCTTTACAATATGGTAACTGGTAGTTCGGCGACTTTTTGGGGGCGATAAAGGTTACTACCTGGCACTTTGGTAATAATGTGAGCAGTACTCAGTTCCGATTACGCATTATTTTGTGTGAGGGAAATGAGAGGTCATGGGATATGTCATGTGATATTAATGGACGAATTACGGTTCTTTAATCGGAAAAGGCGGGAAATCGGGAAAAAATCTGGAAATTTTTGTATTTGGCTTTATTCTGTGTTGTGTGGTGAAACAGTGTTCGTGAATTTTTGGATTCCCATGGCCGTAACTAAAAGTGAATTCGAAATGGGTATTTATGTATGTATTAATTTAATGTATGTGCTCATTTATATTTTAAGTAGTGTTTTTGAATTTAATTATATTTTAATTAAATGATAGTTATTTTGTGAATTTTATGTTTGTAGGAATTTGGTATACGTTTTAGTTGAAGTAAACGTGCATGGAAATAATATAAATATCTGACATATATGTTCTTTTTACCGGGTTTAAAGATTGAGAAAATTGTCATGTATTTTCGTGAAATTTTTCTAATTTATGAGAAAAAAGCAGTGTACATGGATATAGTGAAGAGTGTGCGCAATGCCATTTTTGTGCAATTCTGGGATTTTTTTTAAGTAAAAATAAGTCGGTGTGTACATGGTTTAGTGATATTTTAATTAAATGATAGTTATTTTGTGAATTTTATGTTTGTAGGAATTTGGTATACGTTTAAGTTGAAGTAAACGTGCATGGAAATAATTTAAATATTTGATACTAAGTATTTGTAATGCTTGCGGTATGAATTCGTTGGTGGTGAGTGTATAATGTAATAGATGATTTAGAGGTAAAAGTTTTGGATATTTTATTTATTTTATATGTGGAAATGTTCATATTTGGAAAGGGTAAATACTTTTTCGCGATCAGGTAATTTCATATATGTTCTTTTTACCGGGTTTAAAGATTGAGAAAATTGTCATGTATTTTCGTGAAATTTTCTAATTTATGAGAAAAAAGCAGTGTACATGGATATAGTGAAGAGTGTGCGCAATGCCATTTTTGTGCAATTCTGGGATGTTTTTTTTAAGTAAAAATAAGTCGGCGTGTACATGGTTTATGTGTATGTGTTATTTTGAAAAACGCGTAAGGAGTATGGTATTGTGCACTTTTTCCCAATTTTGCAGTGAATATTTGTCATGATTAAGCAGTTTTGTTTGATAAAATTTCTAGCATAAGTGTAATTCGGCTAGAAGATTGTTGGAAGAAGTGTTCAGTAGATAAAAAGAAAAGAAACATGTCTTTACTTCGTGAAGACAAAATGGCTGCGGGGAAAAAAAATAGAGGGTTGCTGTAGGAGAGTTGGGCGCCAAATTTTCGCCAAAAAAAAACGCCAAGTTACCATAATGTAAAGATCAACCCCCTTGACTTCGCCTTTTCTATATTTTCGCCTTTGGGTGAGCGGTGTGATTGCATTCTAATTGACTTATTTACCGCGAATGGCCTTAGGGCATAAAATTGAACTATCTGATAAAAATTCTATGTAACTGTATACGAGTATTGAAAGAAACAATCAATCTGATAAGAAATGGCTGCGATTTGTTTTGAAAATGATGCGTAAAAGGTTACCAGCGAGGATATTCCTTTTGGCATCAGTTGTACCATTATTGGCGGCTTTATCGCATGCGCCGGCAAAACGGAAAAGTACCAAAATGGGTAAATACTTTTTTGACACTTCTTTCTATACCTTCCGATTCTGTCTTCACTGTTTATTGTTCTTTTGATATTTCATGTACCTTATCAACTATACTAGATCTTTCTAACGCTATTAAACATTCAAACTAGTCACGTTCAATTATAATATGTAAATTAATGTTAAAAGTTCATTTCCTTCTATAATTCTGTGGTGTATTGCTTGTAATGAAGAGGCAATATATGCGGCAAAAATACAGTTATGATGTTAAAAGCATTGCTTTGAAAAATTATAGAGAAAAGGTTAATTTATAGGTTAAAAATTTTAAAAAGCAAGTAAAAAATTTATTAATTCGTTTACCTAAATTAAAACTAAATCATAATTAGAATGAAAATTAGTTCCTTCTACACATTGTGCCGATTCTGGAATTTCTTCATATGTTTTTGAAAAACTCAGACTGAAATTTTTTAAAGATAAAATGTTTATTTGATCTGTGATGTTAAAAGGATTAGTTATTCGTTCTCTTTTTATAATTCGAGGAGTGATTATAATTATGCTTTAAATATTTCAGCATTTAAAATTTTTATTTTTGTTTTACTGAACGAGTTTTTTTCCCCAGAATATAGCAATTTATTTCGCTTCTCAGTTTAACGTATATAATTCAGTAACTATAAACTAAATCTAAGAAAGGGAAAACCATCAAACCAAAATACATGCTTTTACACAATAAAAACATTACATGTAAAATTACGATCACAATACAGCAATCGGTGAAGATATACGAAGACTTACTGATGATCAATTTAAAACTGTTAGAAGGCAGAAAACAAAAATGAGCCATGCAACGAAAATGAAATAAAATATGCAATGTCTAGAGACGGGATATTCGTTCTTCTGATGTTTTTTTTTTTTTTGGGGGGGGGGTCTTTAAAGCGATTAAAGCTCGACTCGGCGCTTTTTCGGTTAAGGATCTTTAGAATTTTGACACAGAAAGACGTTAAACATTTTAACTCGAAGCAGTTTGAGAAGATCAGTCTTTAGTAAGAAAAAAAAAAAAAAAATCCCTCACTTTCGTAGTATCCCAGGATGGCACACTAGTGCCCCTGGTAATAAAGTAAGGTACTAGTGCCCCACTAGTATCTTACTTTATTCTAACCAAATATTTTTAGTTTCAGAAACTTTCCTTTTCCTTCTGATTTCGGTTTCCTGCCAGAATGTAAATTTTTAATGACGTGTATGCAAATCTAAGTGAGTTCGGAATCAGTATTTAAGCAGCGGTTTTAAGAGTTTATAATTGGAGAGTGTTAGTTTCGAGTTTATGCCGCGTGTTTGAAGTAGCTCTGTACGCGAATAGTTGGTGCTTAGCCACTCTCTTTAGAACATACTGATATTCTAGGTTCGGCTTTGCTGCGTGTAGCCGATTTAGCGGTTTAGATAAAGAAGGAGCCAATCGTGTAGTCAATCTTACTTTATTGTGATTGTATATTTTATTTTTATGTTAAGTTATTTAGCCACAAGTGGTGGTAAATTGTGAGCACCGAATGAGTGCGTTTCTGTTTAAGTTCAAGTAAAAAGGTTATTTAAACCTTCTACAGTCATCTATTCTTCCAACACCTAGCGAGAATTCGCGACTTAGTGTTTTCAAAAGGGTCTACAGTGTGATTCCAAAACTTACTAAAAGACTCTACACCTCTTTTGGTCTCTTAAATAACAAACATTTTTATGTTTCTTAGTTTCCTGAAGAAAATTTAGATTTCAAAATTTCGTGTTTGCTTATTTTAATTCTTAAAATAATCATCTTCACCTTACATTTGCTCTCATTTGAAAAAGATTCTGAAAGAATTTAAAGCATTTGAACTATTATTCAAACACTTTTGTTATGTTGCGAAAATAAGCCAGAATATTCAAGAATTTTAATTTTTACTTCATTTCCAAAATTCTCACACTTTCTTAATAAATATACGTTATCTTTTTAGAAGCGGTATTCTTAATTCTTCTTATTATTAAAAAGCAGGTTTCAAAAGTCGCTTTAACTGAAAAGTACCTAGGAACATATTTTGATTAGCTTAATATTATTATTATTAATTATGATATCAACCTCATGAATTAATTATCACATCTCATAAGAATGATTTAATATAGCTTTTTAATGTCTAATATTTGTGCTTAAGCATTTGACTGACTGTTTACCGCGATGCAAGATTTTAGAAGTGAGCAGCACAACAATCCTCAAATCGTATGGGCTTTTATAAGTTTTTATGTTTTTGCCGTTCTTGTATATAATAAAATTAATGTTAGGATTATTAAGAATATACATGGAAGTATTAAAATGTGTAATCTTATATAGGATGTGATTGCTGTTTTGCTAAGAAAATGATTTTTGGTTAGTGATTACAAAATGCAACACACTGGAAGACTGGTGTTAAATAAAATGGTAACAGATATGAGTCAAGAGTTAACTGGGCACAGGCTTCAAACGAATTACGTCCAAATGCTGCATGACACGCATCTCACCTGCGGCAACAGGAGGTGGAGTCGCTGGCCCTCTTTCTTTTGACCGCAGTAGACTAGATTGTTTGGGCTCCGGAACTTCATTTAGAAGGGTATTCAAAAGTTTTTCGAAACCACTTTCATCCAAGATATCAATAGTTTCTTTGGCGACTGAGCTAGAGGAGGTGATATCACGAGGCACACGTTTAGGAACACCCAGTTTGGGAGAAGTCTGAGAACCAGAGATTGCTGAACTGAGACGAGGATATTGCTTTGTTTCGACAAGCGAATTCTTAATAATGGGGGGTGAATGAGACACACTCGAATCCATAGAAACTCTAATATGTCTAATTTCATCTGTTTTTTGGTTTTGCGCTTCAGAGCAGCCAGTTTTACTCGTTGGCATTCGAGATGATGGAAAAGGAATAGATTTAATTTCAGTCTTGGGTGGCTCAAGGCCAGGATGTTCGTAATGATTAGAAGGAGAGTTTTCAACAGAATTCGTTTCTCCTTTGACAATAGCTAGTTCGGAATTTACTAACGAATTGGTTCTAGTAGACCCAACAGAATCCGAATTCGCTGTTGCCATCAAATACGAAATATTAGCTGACAACGATCTAACTGCTTTATATTTCTTTTTGGCCAGCGCAGCTTGAGCCTCTTCATGAGTATCATTATTTTTAACACCAAGACAAAGATTCTGACTCTGATGAACGCTGCTCTTTTGCAAGTTGTCATAAATTTCTTTCCTAATGCTTACTATAGATTCGAGAGGCGATGGGCGAATTTTATGTTTGAAACTTTTGCATTTTTTCACCTGACTGTTGTTAGACTGGTTTTGATTCTTACCATCACGTGATTCCTTCAACAGTTTCTGCTCTATGTCTAATTGCCTGGTCAAATCGTTAAACAATTCATCGATGCTGAAAGTGTTACTGCTAAAATCTCTGTTTTTCGAGATAAGCTGAGACTCGTCTCGTTTCAGTTCAGTAAACGACTTGTTATACTGTGGATACAATTTATCATTTGGGTTTTTAGATGACTGCGACAATAAATCATCGTTGTTATGAAATGATACCTTTAACTCTGCTTCACAAGAAGGTTTAGACGACTTTTTCATGCCTTCTTCATCAGAAACATTTGATATACTATTTCTTTCTGATAAATTATCGCTGCTAAATTTTAGACTTCTGTATACACTTTCTAATTCTTCCATAGCACTATCCAAATTTGCTGTTGCAGACGCTGAGTTAGAGGGGCAAACAGAAGTAGAATTGTCTTTTAGGCATAGCAAACTTTTCTTTGAACTATGCAGCGAACTAGATTCATCTATTTTTATGTCTTGTACGGTAGGATTAGACTTTTCAACCATTGCAATATTGAGTTCGGATTTACTAAGCCTACTCTTAGGACAATGAGTAGAAAGTGAAGAAATTTCTTTTGAATTCGTAATTTTGGAAGAATTTTGGAAATAAAGAAAATTAGTGTTGACATATATTTTATCATTATCTTTACATTCAGCGGGATGACAAGTACAAGAAAATTTTTCTCCAGAAATTAGGCGGCAAAAGCAAATTTCATTTTTCGGCGGAGTTTGCCATCTCAGCCAGGAATAAGGATTCTTCTTCTTACTTTCAAGACTATTAAACATGAATTCACGTCTCTTCTCATTTTCGTCCCATTTATTTGCTAATAATTTATTTTTAATGCTTTCAGATGCTGGATGAGGAGTCTCAGAGCTGGAAAAATATCCTTTATTTTCCATGCATCTTATTGGAACGGCAGGAGGGACAATGTTTTTAGAAACCATTAAGACTGGTTTGGATACAGCAGTGGTTCCACGAGAAGGGCTTAAATCGTTTAGAAGACTCGTGTCAACAAAATCAAAGTTTCCACAGGTTTTCCTTCGGGAACTTAATAGTTCTCTTATTTTCTGCTTTTCAGATGTCTCACTGAGCATCTCATTTACAGACTTGGGGTCATTAATGACAGCTTCACTCTTAGAATTAACTCTGTCCAGAAGTCGAGTATGTGACACTGCTGAAATATTTGGTTGGAAAAACACCTTTCTTTCTAAACTATTATTTTCGTGACCGAAATAAGTTACATTTTGGTGTTGTATGAAAGCTTTATTAACAAATGTCATTGACTTAGGAGATCGAGGTGGAGGTGTTGGTGGCTGAGGAGATTTGGGGACTGGAGATGAGCTCTTTACTACATCAGTGTGAGTATTTCTGTCCATGTTGTAGCTGCTGGAATTTTGGTTAAAAGGCTGATTTCTATTTATTGTTGAAAAGGGGCTAGATGTATCCACATTTTGTGGGCTCTGACGAGGAGACAACTTTGTTTTCTCGCGAAAATCGGAACCACTTCTGCGTTTTCTCTCTTCCTCTTCAATATGCTTTATACGCGTTTGAACAATGCGGGCCGCATTTTCTTTGCTTGGAAAATCACTAAAATAATAATTCTTCTTCAAATCGGGAAAATTAGGAGAAGGGCAGAAATCTGTTTTGCATTCCAAATTACTGAAATCATTATTGATATCTAATGATCCACTTGGAGTTTTGACGCCGTCATCTGGAGAATTTATACAGAGACTTAAATTTTGTTTTCTGTGAGCCCTTTTGCTTGATCCCGAGGGCCATTGATCTTGAGAACCATGGGATCTACGACGAATTCGTTTTTCCATGCGAGATGACTTTGATTTCACCTCTCGAACAGTCCTATGGATAACTCCGTCAGAGTTGTACCTCGTAATGGATGTTCGAGTTTCTTCTTCAGAAGACGTATCCCCGTACTTTTCTCTGGCTGCCTCAACCCTGGCTTTAATAGCGACCAGCCGTTCCTTTCGACTAAGGCTATCGCTAGAACTGCGCGAGGAACGTTCCATGCTATCACTACTGCCGACATTAGGCCTCAAGTGATCGACGGCACTGCGATAGCCTTTACGTTGATCTTGCTCTTTTAGCGAATTGCTGAGTTCATTTTTTGTCGGTTCATCTTTACCGACCAAATCTTGACTCGGTTTAGTTTCGATACGATTCGTTTTGGCGTTTATAATTTCGTTTACCGGAAGTTCGTTTTTAGGCGTCGTCTCAGAGTCCTTAGGGTTATCCTTTTTGGTTTTAAGCGCAGGTTTCGGTTTCTGGTACTCTAATGACGAACAAGAGGTATCTGAACTAAGTGAAGTTTCTTTGCACTTGGCCCCAGAAGATATTGGCAAGCAGAATATAGTACTCTGTCGAGCCGTTTTCTCCCTAGCAAAGATTCTGCTTTTCCTGCGGACTTTCTCTTTCTGCTCAAGGGCTGCAAATATGAGCCTGTGGTCGATACCTTCGCCACTAGCTCTTGCATACGAAGGGAGACTCAAACTCTTCTGCACAGGAACTGGGTTGTACTTCCTCTGAGGGGTACTCAGGGTCGATGCCTCCATAACCATTAAAGGTGCATCTTCTTCCACTGCCACCCTGCAGAAGTAAAAAGAAATAACTTTACAATCTTACAAATTTCTAGCAGATTTTCAATATTAGAAATAAATAAAATTAATACTATTATCCATGTGCATTAATGAAATATTACGCCTTAGCCTTTAATATTAAAGATATAGTTGAATAAAAAATACAGTTCCTTATCATTTTATTAAAATACAGCGTTACTCAAAATGACTAATTGCATTTCAGAGGAATACAATTTTGCATCTATTAACAGTAATTTAATTTGATACACATTAAACGAGAAATGAAATCTCCAAGCCGCAGAATGCTCTAAAAACGTAGTTGAAGAACATCATACTTTCTAATATAATGCTTCTTCCACTCGTGCTCATTTTGGAAATGACGTCGTGGATCCGATGCCTGGGTGTTCTAAAATTGTCATCGGACTGCCCCAGTCAGATGATTTCATGTCATGCTATGTTTTCCTTTTGGTATATGCTGAAAATGATACGTTTGTGGACCTTTGTCCTCGGGCCAGTATGATCTCAAAAACTGCACTATGCAACCATGAAAAGAATGACAGAGAGTATGTTGAAATAAATATGGCATGGTTTTCACAATCGAGTGTGATGTTCTAAAGGAAGTCCCACCAAACACTTCTGGTACAACGTGGACAATTACACATCTATTTTATGTATTATTCTGTACTTATAAATTTAAAAAATAACAGCGTCTGAAATCGGATCAAATATTTAAAAATAACATTGTATAATATGGACATACAAATCATCATTTGAGAACACGCCGGAAAATAATTTGTCATTATATTTATTTTTTACGACTATACCGCCTACACAAATAGCAGTAATCGATTGTAACATCATTAACAGTAATTCCCCATAGGTCATTGTTTTACGAATATTTTTTTCTTTAATGACAAAAAGCAAAATGTGCTAGTTGAAATTTCTAAGAAATGCAGAAAGAATTACATATTGCTCTTTAGAATATCTAATTATATCCTTTAACTTCTTTTGTACCAAGAAGGGGTGATTCTCAGAAGATATTTTATATAATTATTTTCCGAGATAATTGAAATAAAATAAAATTAAAGTCAGTTTGGGGATAAAATTATTCAACTAACCGTGTAATTTCCCAGCTTCTTTTATCTTCCACTTTCACAGGTACACTTTCACTTTTAATAGTTACCACGAAAAATTTAATAATTCATTATTAAATTCGAAGGAGAGAGACACCAATGTAAAAAGTAAAATTAGGCAAAAATTCAACCTTAGTTTGGAGTAGGATTTTGAAGACGATAAAGTCCCTCTTATTAAAAAAGAAAACAAAAAATATTGGGGGGGATGAACTATAACTATTTGGACGGGGACTAACTGCTACCCCTTTGAAGAGGAACCTGTGTTTGAAAACCTTCGAAATTGTAGGAGCTTTTTTTAAATAATACGCCAAAATAATGTTGATTTTTTGCCTATTTTTAAATTTAATTATTATTCATCACCTATAATACCTTATTAATCATTCATAATTCTTTAACTAATTAATTATAGCTCATTTCACAAACATATAATTAATTAAACATACAGTGATGCTAAAAAATTTTACTGCAGGTTGCAAACTGCAAATTTTGCATTTAAATGTTCTTTTCAAGTGGAAAAAAATTAAAATGGAGAACAAAAATGAAAGACATTGCTACTAGATTATCCATTTTATGCATATTTTAAGCGGTTGTTTAATTGCATGACACGGTGCAATTTTTCTATTTTAAGATTAAGATATTTGAGGATTTCTGTTGTTAATCTTTCCCTTTGTCTGTTTTGCCAGCGATTAATAGAGATTGGGTTAATAATTTAAACGCCGGGAAAAAAAAAAAAAAAAAAAAAAGGTATAATTTGCGGAACGGACGTGGGATCAAAGAAGTTTTGCAAAATTTTGTGGCTGGGATTTATACTTATAACTTCGCAGCTTCGCAGCTGCCCAGTGGTTACATGAGTATTTCCGGGAAGCAGGAATTTTTTAGCTTCGTAGCGTTAACAGAAATAATTACCTTATTTTATTTTTTTTAATTTTAGTCCGGAAACTCAAAGAAAGATTTTTTTATACCATCTCTCCCCAAATGAGTTTCTTTACTGAAATTAAACTCACTGTGTACAAGCAATTTTGAGACAGCTAGATTTTCAAACTTAAAGCATATTTTCTTTCCATCATACTTAAAATAAGATAAAAACGACAAAGCGCATGAAAGGAAAAACAGAACAAAAATATAAAAAAGAACAATAATTCGATAATAAAACAAGTAAAGTTGCTTTGGCAATAAGCCAATCATGACTGACCTCACCTGAATAAACATTTCAATAAATGTAAAACGAATAAATAGATATTCGAGACCCTTCATTATCGTGCATTGAACTGATACAGACGATTCTGAAGAACTGTTTTTAAGGATAATGACATTAAGAAACGATAAGATGAAGAAAAATATCTAAACCTGACCGTTAAAACTTGCAGGAACTGTTAATCATTCATTTTATGCTTAAGCGATTAAACATTCTGCGGTTTAAAAGAATATTATAAACTCACAAATTGGGTATATGAAAACGAAAAAACTACTCTTATAAATAATAAATTTTTCTAAGTTTCCATTATTCGAGCTTTCTTTACTGGAAAATAATATGATATTTTAAAAATTGTTTCATTGGTTATAAACACTGAAAGATGTTACCGTTTTCGTATTTTAGAAAAAGTAGCAATTCAGGCAAAATACGAAAATGCAACTCATTTCAAGCAACATTAGACCCTTCATTTATCTTCCAAATTACAACAATTCTTGCTTACTAGAATACTATTATTTGCAATTTGTTTGCTAGAATAACAGTGTGAGGGATCCTAATGGTATTTTTACACTTTCAGTATCATCGATTATCATTATTAGCAAAATACAACGGAGACAAAATGGATTATTTGATAACGGTAGAGCACGCTAGAGCTATCTGCTTAGGAATGCTTCGCAAAAGTAACAGATTTATGGCAAAGTTACATTACATTGGGATGATTACTTACTTAATCTTGAATTATTCTCAAGTTGGATAAAAAGTTCAAGACGATGGTATATCTATTATCATCAACACTCGAATTCTCTTGAGATAATAACGAGTCAACGACTGAGGAAAGTGGGAAATAACTCAACTTGGTCAGCTTTCGGTTGCAGTTAGCGAAGCAAATAGAACGCATACAGGCGTGGGAGGGGGATGCACGGCGTTTACTTTGAATATCAATACGATGGTAGATAATTATTTCGCGGTTTTTGTCCAGTCATGCATTGCTAACGAGAAAACACTTCCGAAGCGCAAAATACTATAATTTATCTCAGTAGCCGTATTGCGTACTAACAATGAAATAACATCAAGATTGTAAGGAATTTTGTAGGTACGGAAACATACAACTGATCTTAATATCTGAGTATATTAGTTCTTAGTATCGTCTGAAAAAATAAATATAATTTTTATTTATACAACAGTAACGTAAATTTAATTTTAACGCACAGTAACACCGGCAAAATTGTTTTGCTGTATATTTCCCCTTCATTGTACGAAGTAAAGAGAATATTTGAATCGCAAAAAACTTCAGGGTATCCTATTTCTATTTCAAGAGAAATATTCATTTTGACCGTTCCATTTGGAAGATTTTTTTTTTCGTGACGTATGTATGTACGTATGAATAAAGGACTATTTTTTTCAAAACGGACTGTAAAATGGATTTAAAATGGGATTCTTTCGTGACGTCAACTGTACGCATGTACGTATCTCGCGTAATTGAAAAACGATTAACTGTAGAACATTGAAATTTTGTATATGGGACTGCTGTAACATCTAACTGTGCACCTCCTTTTTTTATTGCAATCGGCAGTATCAAAGACACACACACATTAATCTTTGCAGCTCAAAGCGCAAAATTCTTGACCACAAAGGTCTTTTTTAGTTTGTTCTCCTTTCTTTTTAATTATATTCATATGCTTCCAATTACAGAAGTGTTTTAAATGACGAAAATCGTCATGGTTTGGCAAGGTTAAATTAAAAAATTATTAATTTTTGACACATAACGAAATCTAACTTTTAATGATCTCCGGGTTCTCTAGATTGGCAGCAAATCCACTATTCTGCTAAATTTTAAATGTAAACAAATATGGCTGCCATGCTAAACAAAAATTAGGCCTAGCCGCACGTAAAATACCTTTAAATTGTTGATAATTCCACAATTATTGCATGCAGGTTAAGTAAAGGCATAAAAACCTTAATCGGAAGATAAGAACAACATAATTCAATCATTTTTTAAAGCAAAAAATGCACAATTTACAAATATATAAGAATAAATAAACTGAGCTCACTCAGCCGAGTAACAAAGTGGATATATATATTTATATACTTTTGATGTGGCCGATTGGAAACTAAAATGGGAGGTGCACATCTACATGTTATAGCAGTCCTATATAATAAAAGATTTCAACATTCTGAGGCTACTCGTTTTTGTGTTATGCGAAATACGTATGTACATACAGATGCTACGAAAAATCTCTTCAGAATTCATTTTAAATCAGTTTTACAATGTTTTTTTTGGAAAAAAGAGCCCTTCATTCTGTTCTTACGTACGGATGTCACGCAAAAACATCGTTAAATTGCATTCGATAGCGATCAAAATGGATATTTTCGTTGAAATATGATACCCGAAATTTTTCTCGATTACAATACTTCCTTCGCACAAGGAAGTAAAAAACCAAGGTAGCGTGTATTTAAAATCATTAACATTCAATTACATCAGTGAAACAATTTAACGCATGTTTCTTTTACTACCTGATTTTATACATAGTTCCTTATTTTTTTATCATTTTGTTCTGTCAGTGAAAATACAACTGTTTTTCCATTCAGATAAAATCAGGAGATAACTTGCGAAAAATGTTTTTGATAGGTCCACAGTATCTCTCTCTCTCTTTTTTTTTACAGCTGCTGAAAATTCCCGTCGAC